TGAGCAAGGCGTCAAAACTTCTTGAGCCTACATTCCTTTTCAATATGAGAGGATTGGGTTAGATGGATTCAGAATACTCTTTTGGTTCTAGTCCCAGGTGGCCAGTCAGTACTGAGATGTGCTACAAGTGAAAAATGCACACCAGGTTCCAAAGACTTAGTACAAAGCAAGTGCAAAATATCTCATTATTATTATTTGATGGTACTGGCTTATGACCTCAAGGCCTGATACTTGCCAGGCAGGGACTCTACCACTTGAGCCACACTCCCAGTCCCTTTTGCTTTCATTGTTTTTCAGATGGGTCTTGCACTTTCTGCCCAGGGATGACCTCAGACCTTGGTCCTTCCAATTTCTACTTCTTGAGTTGCTGGGATTGCAGGCATGTACTACCACACCAGACCTTTCACTAATTGTAATATTGATTTCATATTGAAAAGATAATATATGGGGCATACTGGCTTAAATAAAATATTAAAATTAGCTTTATGTGTTTGTTTTTACTTTTTAAAATGTGGCCACTGGAAAATGTTGAGCTATACATGTGGCTTGCATTATATTTCTATTGGGCAGAACTGTTTTAAGGTATGTTTCTGAGTCCCCATTTCTCTTGTGTGCATATCAAATTCTAGAAACTCAAAGGCTTAGGAAAAAAAGTTGCCTCTTTTTCCATTCACAGGTCTTTTTAAAAGTAAAGGTTTTATGTCACATTGGCTAAGTGCTTAGCGGAAGGAACATCAATGTTTCTCAAACTAAAATTTCATTTCCTTCTGCTTTGAAGGAAGCTGTAGTGGCAATTAGTAGTACTTTAGAAGAGCAGAGCATTTCCAGATTCCAGTCACGTGATAAAGGAAAGTTCTAGAAGTGAAAATTGGTTCCCCCTTCCCCAACGCATAGCTACGCCATCTCTTTTCCACGTGCGAGCTGAGTGTTTGGAAAGCACATAAATGCTCCACACAAGATCCAGGGACACAGGCACTGAGTTCAATACCCACTTCCTGCTGGGCTTTAACTTCTGGGCTGGAGAAAGAATACTGGGCAGAGACACCAGTATGTACAAGGATTGATGGATCTGGAGAGAAAGAACAGCAGAAAGAAGAACCAGAGGCACAGATGAGCAAAGTGAAGGGAGCTAGGTTGGCTGGGGACACTGAGAATACATACATTTACAATGACTGAGTAGGGCCTTGAATGTCCAGGACGGGAAACCTAGAACCAGATGTGAAAGGCAATGGTCTGAGTGCCTGATGGAAAAAGGGAAGATATCATCCTCTTTGTGCCTAGCTATTGTATGTATATGTCCCCAGATGGAGGCCCTCATTATGATCCAGAGCAATGTCACACCATTCCCTTACTTCTCATGTGTGCACAGTTTCTGCCTCTCCAACAGAGAATGAGGCGTTCCTTATTCTCAAGGGTAAGAACCAAGATTGATGCATCTTAGAACCCCAGGATAGTCCTGGGCAGGAGCAGGTGCTCAGTGTTGACTGTTGCCTTTTCTTTCAAACACCTCTCAAGGGAAAAGAAAGTCTCCCAGGTGTAAAAGTGTAAATCAGTTTGCCTTCTGTCCTTTCCCTCTCCCTTCTCTGAGATTTGTTCCTTCTTCCTGGGTTCTTATCACCAACATCTTGCTGCTGAATCTCCTAGTCCTTGATATGCATGTCTGGAACCCAAGCTTCCTTCTTCCTCTCATCATCCAGCCTTCTTAGGGCCTGAGGAAGTATATCATCTCTTTCTTTCACCCAAACTGTCCCTGCTGATAATCTGCTTTAGCCAGTTGACCTCTCTCACATGGCTCCACAACTTACCTGAAGACAGATCTACTGAGCTCAAATGGCCTGTGAAATCAAAGACACCCAGTAAAGAAGTGTAGAAGGCTTTGGGAGTTGCTGCCAGAGTGACAGAAGAGTTTTGGCTGCCAGGCACCGGTGACTCATGCCTATAATCCTAGCTATTCAGGAGGCAGAGATTGGGAGGATCATGGTTGAAAGCCACCCAGACAAATAATTCATGAGACCCTATCTCATAAAAACCCATCACAAAAAAAGGGCTGGTGTAGTGTTCAAATTGTAGGCCCTGAGTTCAAATCCCAGTACTGCAAAAAAAAAAGAGTTTTGGCTATTCAGTAAATAAGAACCCACCCAACTGTGCCTTGGGGGAGGCTAGATTGAGTTTGGTTAGAGTTGTAGCCTTTCCTTGACCAGTATAAAAAAGGTTACTCCTCAGATTCCATGAGATAAATTTACAGAATCTGAATTCATATTCTCTCCTCTTCCCACTCCCATGTCTCTGTCTTTTTCATTCATTTTTGTTGTCCTAACACCATTTTTTTTTTTTTGAAGAAAGGGTCTTGTTATGTAGCCCAGGCTGGAGTGCTGGGGTTACAGGCATGTGCTACCATACTTGGCCTCCCTGGATTATTCTCTAGTCAACTTTTTAAAAGCTTTACTCATTTGAGAAAGCCAGCTCAATATAGTGCAATGTAGCACAAATACTTCAAGGCCCTGTAAGATGAGAATCAAAATCAGAAGCAGATAAACTGTAACAAATAAGGTTGAAATTTGATTTGTAAAGGGCATTACCACTGGGCAAACATTTACATTTCAGTTTTCCCTATATTATATATAATGTAGAATTGAAGCTTGGTTGCCATTTCTGGTTTTGTTTTTTTATAGGGAAAATCTCAAGTAATGGGGTTGTAAGGAAAGTCCCTGCTTTTTTCCAGTGACTCTAGCCTAGGTGAAGACTAACCCTTCACTCTGTGCTGCCTACATTGCAGACAGTGCATTGAAGAAAGGATCTGCAATGCTTGCTCTGAGCCAGTGCACACCTGCAGCATCCATGCTGCAGCCTTGCTGGGATGACCCCAGCTCCCTCCCTGCACTCACTGCATCCCATCTGCTCCTCAAGAAAGCCTCTCTTGTGTTTTTGCAATCACACAACTCCCAGCAATTCTGATCCTCCTCCACAGGGAGCAACTGCCACCTCCAATCTCCCCTGGCCCTAAGAATCACCACTTTGAACTAATGAGCTAGCTCATGCTTAAGGATTCTTACAGGGTAAAAATGGATATTTGGAGAGATAACCAGTAAGACAAGGCTGCTATTATAGCAATGGGGCGAAACAAGGAGACCACCTCTTCACTCCTCCTGCCAAGATTCTTGACTGTCTGAGTGCCCAATGAGCATTGTTCTCTTATTTTATGACACCTATGTAAGTATTCTGGTAGCAGGTTAATGAATGGTGTGTGTGGGGGTGGGGGTTGCATAACAGAACACCCATGCTTACAGTATATAAATGTATATGCTTATCCAAGAGTATCTTTTAAAAAATGAGTAAAGAGCATGAACTGTTCTTCTTTCTTATTTCCAGGCACACTGTGTTGGAAGAAGAGAGTTGAGATTTTATTTATTTATTATTTTTTCAGTATCAGGTTTTGAACCTAGGGCTTATATCTTCAGCCACTCCACCAGCCCTACTATTGTGATGGCTTTTTTTCGAGATAGGATCTCCAAACTATTTGCCCAGGGTTGGTTTAAAACCGTGATCCTCCTGATCGCTGTCTCCTGAGTAGCTAAGATTACAGGCGTGAGCCACGGGTGCCTAGCAGAGTTTGGGTTTTAAAATAACTGATTGCTATAATTTTTTTTTAATTTTTTTGAGATAACTGCAGATTCATATAAGTTATAAGAAACAATAGAAAGACCTCCTGAATACTTCACCCAGTTTTCCCCAGTGGTAACATTTTGCATAACTGTATAAAAAAAATCACAACCAGGAAATTGGCATTAATACAATCCAAGGGCCTTGTTTATATTTCACCGGTTTCACACACTCATTTGTGTGAGTGTGTATTCAGTTGTACCCAATTTTCCCACATACGCAATGTGCTTTTGAATCCCAACTTGCCTAAGTACTTTCTGTGCCATCCTGAGCGAGCTCTTTGACTCTTGAGAGATCCAGTTTTCAAAACTGAGAGATCCATTTGCAAAACGCTGTAACTGCCTCCTAAGAGTGGCTGGTGTGAGGATTAGGTAAGATTAATTCTGCTGTGTTCCCAGCACATTGGGTTCCTTCCTGTGTACAGCTAGTCCTCTCAGTAGGAAGGTAAATTTCTCCAGTTTTCTTGCTAAAATAACCAGACTAGTGAGTGGTAATACGTCAGGCGGACCCTTCCTCAGGGCAACACATTTAACCCTGCAGCTGCAAGAGAACAGTGGATGTTGCCTCAGGTTCTGGCTGCCTCCACCTCTAGCCCTGACTTGGGATCCTGTCTGGCTGCTCTGCGATCAGAAGTGCAGGGATGGATTGAGGAACCCCAGACTTTGGGGATAGCATGTGGAGGAGGCGCCAAAGACCCAGCAACCGTTGTTGGCTTGAGGACTACCAGCTCCAAGGAGTGGCAGTGACAGAGGGCTGGATGTACCCTCGGTGAGTTGCACAGGGGGCGGGAACCTGTGAGGACTTGGTGGAAAGGTCCAAATGCCATCCAATGTGACAGGAGGTTCACAAGGTTCAGAGTCAAGTCCAGGCCCCTCTGCCTCCAACAGCCCTCTTCCCAAGACTGACAACCGGCTCCTCAGGACTGGGAAATCTAGGGCCGCCTACGGGCGGCAGCTGAACCCCGCACCTTAAGGTCCCGCCGACTGGAAGCGGGGCGGGGAGGGGGGTCTCTGCTTCGCGAAGAAGTGGTCCACCGGGTGTCCAGGCTCGGGGTGTGTGCCGGCGTTTTGGGAAAAAAAAAAAAGGGTGGCGGGCAGGCAGGGGGCCGAGGGATGAGCAACCCCTCCGATCCACATCCCGAGCCCCGGCGTTTCCACGTTCAAATCCCCGAGCCGGAGCTGGGAGGGGGCCATGCACCGGCGAGGACTCTGGCGGCGCCACCCGCTCCTCCCTCGGCTGCCGGAGCTGCGCGGGCCGCGGAGGAGGAGCCGCGCCCCGGCCGGCGTCGCCCTGACTCCTCCTCCCCGCGCGGGCTCAGCGCTTCCTCCACTGCGTCCAAAGCTCAGGGTGGCGGCGACCGAGCCGGGAGCTGAGCGCGCTGTGCGCGGCCGAGCCCCGAGTGCGCCCGCGGCCATGCTTCCCGCGGCGGCGCCGGGCGCCTGAGCCCCGGAACGCGCGGTAAGCGGGGAGGCCAAGCCCGGGGACCCCTCGACCAGCGGCCTAGGGGGCGCGCGGAGGCCGTCGGCGAGGCCCCGGTCGCCGGGGACAGGCCGGGCACAGACGCGAGGGGGGTCGCCCTGCGGGGCGGCCACCGGGGCGCGCGGGGTCCCTCAGGGCGGGGAGGAAGCTGCGGCGGGCCGGCGGCTCCCGCAGGACGCGCGGGGAGGGGGCGGGAGGGGCGGGCGGAGGGGCTGGGGGCGGGGCGGGAGGATGCGCGCGGCGACCGCGGCCCCCGAGCGCGGCGCTTTTGTAAGAGCTGCGCCTTACATATGGAAATGACGCTCGCGCGGGTCCCCATTCGCATCCTTTTGACGGACGCCCTACCGGAACCGCGGCGCCGGCTGCGAAGTATTGTCCCGCGTCCCCAGCCCTAACAAAGCGCCCTCCTTCGCCTTGCAGAGCACTGGAGGCGGCCGGCCGGCGGTGCGGGCGCTTCGGAGAGGCCGACAGAAGGTAGGCGAGGGCGGCGGGGGCCGCGAGCTTGCTGCCCGCTGACACAATGGGGCGTCCGAGGTTTCTGGTGCTGGCGATGGGCAGGTGCGCTGCTAGACCTAGCGCAGGTTGCCAAGGACCCCGGCGGCTCGTCCGCCCTCTTGCTGCACCGGCGCCGCGAGGTGTGGGCACCTCCGCCACCCCCGTGGTCCCAGCCGGCTGCTGAAAGCTGCTACTGTGTGTGGGTCCAAGAGCGGACTTGAGTCCCACAGGGCTCAGAGAGGGTGGTGGTTCTGTTGGCCGGTGCCACCCAGGCAGCCTCGAGATTAAGAAGCTGAAGAGAAACCCGTGTGGGGAACCACTGGGTGTTCGTCCGCTCTGAGGAACGCAGAGCTGTTTGGAGCCCTGAAAGTGGGAATTTGAGAAAGTGCATGGGATGGATGCATGTAGAGACTTTCCCGGTGCAGCTACCAGGAAAGGGGAAAGACACAAGGACACCTAGTCATTGCCTAAGAGCCCTGATCGCCAAAGGAGAGGACTAGAAGTATGGAGTGCTGTGTGGCGAGGGGAGCTGACTGGGGGCCTCAGGTCTGGGCAACTACCAAACCGACCTCCCAACCCACAGGAGGACAAGGAAACAGCCTCTGCTTAAAGCTCTTTCTGTGAAATTGCAAGAGAGAGGGACAAAAGGGGGCGATTTTCCGAGCCTCAGCCCAGACCAACCAAGGTTAAGGTGCAAATAAAATGGGAGCTGGAATATTATCCTGCCATAGATGATGTTTCCAGAGAACTTAGTTATTACATGATCTTCTGCTCTCTTGTTAACTGGAATAGATCCTCTCTCAGTGTTGAGGAATGACTGAGATAGGCTTCCCTACAACTCAGTCCCAAGTTTATCAAATTAAAACAGATTGCATAGTTGTCTTTTGTGGCTGACACGGTAGGTTTTTAGGATACAAATGCTGAGAAAGTCCATCATGGCACCTGAGCAAGACTCCTGGGACCATGAAAGAGTTCTCAGTTGGGTTTCCTTAACTACCTTAGCATAAATTTCTCTCTCTGCTTGCTGAGGCTTGACGATCTACAAGGAAACAGATTGGTACTGTCAGCGTAGTTTTATCTCGTGTCTTCTGTAGTGAACAGAATAATATATTGGTGGCTGACCTGAGATACTGCTCTGAGTGGAAAGTAGCTGTGAAATTCCCAGACTGTTGGAAGAGTGACACTACAGGCTGGCTGAAAAATGAGCTGATGTGATCTCTTCGACTGTTGCCAGTGTTTTTAGGGAGGTGGAGGTGAACTGAAGGGGGAGGGGTTTGCAGATTTGTGTATTTTCACCTGTTCTCTGCAGGGCCAGAGAAGCATTCTGAACTGCAACATAGATAAAGCAAATGGGTTGAACATAAGCAAAGATATTGCCAGCTGGGGCGATGCGGAGGAAGCATGGTTTAAATGTCAAGGAGCAGTCATTTTAATAGTCGCTTGCTCAGAATGGCATGAGTTTCTTTTTTCTTATTCCCTTTTCATTATAGGTATGTCATGACGCTTAATACCAAACGACGTTAACTTTCCTGGGGGAGGAATAGTGCCCAATGAATTCTGAACAGCCAATCTTAATTTAATAGGCAGTATTCTTATCATGAGTCAAATGTTCACATAAATTGTTTTAAATGTCACTGCAAATGACTTTCTAAACTAATGTTTCACCAATCTTGATGTTTCAGTTTTATATTGATAATGAAGATACATTTTATCAGTCTTATGTTGATAAAGGTTGGCAAGTTTAGCCAGAGTCTTTTAGAGGAATTCAAACAGCCAGAGCCTTTTTCAGGGGCTTATTTTACAGATGCCAATTCATTCGTAAGCCAATAAATAATGCAGTTTGAATTCTGGCTATTCATCTTGCATCTGTTGGGCCAGGGTTTGTGGAGAAGCTTACTGAACCCTACAAAAAGATATTTTTACGTTACTTATAAATGAGAATTTTTAAAGATATGGGGTTATGAAAGTGAACAACCTTGTTAGAAATTTGTGCCCTCCTTTGTCGCAGTTTGCAAAAGCAATTAGAAACTTATTTAAGCTCTTGCATGGAGAATATTACAAAGGATCTATACCCTAATGCTCACCTACAGTACAAAGTTGGTAAAATACTATTTATAGATGTGAGAATAGAAGCTCTTCACTTGGACCCCAGGAAACTGTGCTCATAGGTTCAGGCATCCTAAGTTAACTTGAGTAAATATGGCTCCAGAAGTGAAAGTTGTTACAAGCTTTCTCTTTTAGAAAAAAGGTAACAAACATGCAGCTGTTTTCTGCTCCCATAGTTTTACTTAGTAGTTGATTATAGGTTATTTGCATCTACTTGTGCTAAACTCATGTTTTTTCTCCCTCCAGCTACCCTGAGTTAACTACTTGATTGGATAATCCACCTGCTATTAGATTTAACAAAAGCCTGACTTTGCAGCAACCTTCAGGACAGTAAAATACTAAAGCTTGTTTATGTTTAGAATAGATGCCAGTAGGATGCCCTTAGTTCAATTAAATTTTATGATGTAGTTAGCAAAGGTTGTTATTTTCTTTCAGATTTATTGAAATGTGACTTTTCCCCTCTGCAATGGCACTTTAGTTTTTATGTTGTATTTTTACACCACAATTATATTCCTGGTGATCTCTGTGGCTTTTGATATCCAGCTAGAGGGGAGGTGCTATCTGACAGTCATCAGTTTGCTGCTGAGTTGCAGCAGTAATTTTGGCAGGGAAGTATTCTATATAAACATGGAAATAGGGGCAATTGCTTTTTGTTGAGCTTTTGCTAAACTTGAACTTATTCTCCTTACTATCTTCTTTTATACTGAAATGACTCCAAGATGGTAAGCCTGGAAATCTTTGCAGCAGATGAAATGTTTGCAGAAAAGAGAGAAGAAAAAAAAATGGCAATTTGATTGGAGGCATTATTAAGTCTGACTGGCCAAATGAAGAGATTTAAAAGCATAAATGAAAAGCCTTTGCCAAGCAGGGGTTGTCTGTGTCCATTACTTTCTCCCAAAGTAACGAAATTAGTCACTTAGTCTTTGGACCCCTAACAGCTATGTCTGAACACAGGTTCGAAAGCATCTATTATGATGCCCTGGAAAGGAAGAGGGCTGAGCAGAGAGGGCATCTCATTCCGCAGAGCTGTTCAGCTGCTGGACCATCTGGATGGGAATTAAAAGGCCTGGGCTAGGGGCTCTGGCATTGTGCTTATTTGTTATTTGCTTTTCACTTGCCAGGCTTTGTCCCCTTTTCACTCCCTCCAGCCCCGAACAGACATCCACTTTGGCTGGGGTACCATCCTCACAAGCTCCTTTCTATACCATGGATGCTGGGAAGTTCCTAAGTTCACACAGCCACTTCATACTTCCCTTCTGTTGGGATTGTCATCATTCCAGCCATACCTCTACCTACTCCTTTTGCAGTCCTGGTGGCATTGTGATTTCCTCAGCTGGGGTTGTAAGTAGAACACAACACAGATCTGTAACAGCCATCCCGTCAGAGCGTGTGGCATTTTGGCAGCCTTGTTTTGAGTTATTTGAAAGGAAAATGCTCTGAATAATTGTCATTATGGGTGGTTATTGGGTGATAAATATTTTGAGTAATGGCTCTGTGCATCTTTTTCTTATTTAACTATCCCTAGTTAGAACTCCAAAGTATTGCCTATACTGATCCTTTTACTCCAAAGGAACCATAAGGGCTCTGGACCATTTGACAGGAAGGCCCAGATTTATGGCAGTCTTCGTGAACCTGGAATTGTTCTTTGCAATTTCAGGGAGGATTTATCACTCAAAACTCAACTTTTTATTTTTTTTTAATTTTTATTGTTTCATTATTCATATGTGCATACAATGCTTGGGTCATTTCTCCCCCCTTCCCCCACCCCCTCCCTTACCACCCACTCCGTCCCCTCCCTCTTCCCCCCACTCCCTCCATACCTGGCAGAAACTATTTTACCCTTATCTCTAATTTTGTTGAAGAGAGAGTATAAGCAATAATAGAAAGGAACAAGGGTTTTTGCTGGTTGAGATAAGGATAGCTATACGGGGAGCTGACTCACATTAATTTCCTGTGCATGTGTGTTACCTTTTTAATTCTTTTTGAGCTAACCTTTCCTCTAGTTCCTGGTCCTCTTCTCCTATTGGCCTCAGTTGCTTTTAAGGTATCTGCTTTAGTTTCTCTGCGTTGAGGGCAACAAATGCTAGCTAATTTTTTAGGTGTCTTACCTATCCTCACCCCTCCCTTGTGTGCTCTCGCTTTTATCATGTGCTCAAAGTCCAATCCCCTTGATCTTATGTCCGCATATGAGGGAGAACATACGATTTTTGGTCTTTTGGGACAGGCTAACCTCACTCAGAATGATAAAACTCAACTTTTTAAATTCTCGAGTAAGGTTCCTGCCACTAATGGGTGTTAAGCTTTGGGTGGAAAGCACTGGACTGCACAGGTTAGACATACTTATTTGGGGGAAGTAATTTAACAATAATCAGTTCCTGAGCTATACCCATTACTGAAGATATAGGACTGTTCATGGTCATTTTTATGTAAAATTTATTTCTTCCATGCCCAAATCCCCAAGCTGCTTTACCAAAAAAAAAAAAAAGTTTGTTTCTACGTAAGTATCCCCAGAGACTTGTAGGCTCTAGTCATTCAATGAGTGGACCGAGGGAGGTAGGGGAAAAGTATGTGGCCGGGGAATGTCCATGGCGGTTGTTAGTACTCAGTAGTGTTCAGCTGGCTGACATCCAAAGGTGGAGGTGAGTTTGGCAGTGGTGTCGTCAGTGGCCCTGTTCGTGTGTTGAACGCACATGTTTAGATTGGGAGATATATAATTCAGAGTCACACTAGAAGTCAAATCTCAGCTCCACCCCTGCAGTGGTACTGTATGCTTGGATAAGTTGCTAATGTTGTCAGGCCCCCATTTCTGCACTTAAACAGGGGAGAGGATACTCTCTACTTCCAAGAATTGGATTAAATGAGATGATATATACATAAGGTACTCTGCCTAGGTCAGACTGGGGGTAAGTACTCAGAAATAAAAATTTCTTCTGAATTCCCAAGTACATTTTAGCCTCTCTGCTTTTATTTGACATCAATATTTATCAGTCATTTGCATCTGAAGGTCAAGGAAGCACTGAACATCACCTGCTGGTGTTATCATTTAACAATAGAGTACTACCTTCATTGTCACTCTCATCCTCTATTCTGTGGCCCTATACGTTTTCTGCTTTGCTTCTTTGAAGGTAGATTTATGACAGATTGACTTCAGTCACTCTAAGTTTCTGCCTCCTTTTTTAGCCTCAGATATTTTCTTGTATCATTTCCCTGAGATTAGCCATTCTCACTTGTGTGCCATATTTAACCCCCAGAATGACCCTTCCAGACAGGTACTGTTACTCATGTTGGATAAATGAGAGAACTTGAAGGTATCTTGGTACAGATTCTCCTCAAAAGTGTCATCCCTTGCCTCATTCCAGATGAGAGGGGGCACTGCTGATTGGTGTCCTAGATTGGTCAATGTGGCTAAATTGAGACACAGGTCATGCTTCCATCACAGTAAATGCATTGCAGTGGTGACAATGAGATCTGTAACATTTTGCTTAAGCTCATGGATGAAAAGATGCAATGAGAAAAATGTTTCCTAGAAAAACTTGGTATTTACAAAGTGCTTTCTATAATTAATCTCCTAGGACTGAACAATAAATTGCTTCAGGAAATTAAATCCCACAGGTCCTCAGGACAACTGGATTAAGCATCTTTTAAAGAGGGCTATCCTGGGAGAAAAATCAACTTTAAAGGTGACCTTGATGTGCAGTAAAACCAACCAAAACATGTAAAATTATTAAATAATTTATTGACATTAAAAAAAAAAGTGTCATCCCATGACAGAAAAATACAGTTGGCATTTGTGAGTCCATTGGGTGAATTCTTTGAATTAAACATCATTTGGCTTCTCTCTAGTTCAATTTGGTAGTCACTCTAGGTGCTCTACTTCTAGTGGTTATGTCTAAGACTGAAAATGCCGTTCAAGAGGGACAAGAAGGGGGAAGTAGAAATGTATATATGGAAGAAAGAGGTATTTCACAATTTTCATATGCTCATTTCTGTGCCTCCCATTCAGGGTAGCTTTCCTCCCACGGAATGGCCTCACAGTAAATCAGTTCATGATGTTTGCTGAGTCCCTGTGTGAAGAACAGACTGTACTATTATTCATTTGGGGGAAGATATAAGTGAAATAGAAGCTGTGGCCTTACCCTTAAAGAAATTTCTGTCAAGTAGGGAGAAAAAAAAATTCTTGCACATGAAATTTCTGATGAACATTTGGAGAAAAATATCAACTAGCAAAAATGCATTCTGTGCCAGATGAGTACTGACAACTTGTCACTGTGTGTAACATCTCCTGGATGTTTCAGTGTAAGCATTTGTTCCACAGAGGTGTCCCCATCCCCTCCCCCATCACCAGGGCCCCCCAGTCAAAACAGATAAGAAAAGAAAGCTTCTATAAAATGATGAAACAAGTTCGACATAGTGAAAACCCATGGAGGGGCATGATAGCTTATCAAACTCAAAAAAGCATTGTAAGATCAGTCCTTCTCAGTACATTGTGAGTTTTACTGCTCCCTTTTGTTTTTATTGCCCTTTTGTTTGCTTTGATGGACAAATCGGCACCCCTGAAAAATCATTTTTGAAAGTGGAAATGTTAGTATTCTTTCTTTTTTTTTTTTGTTTTTTGAGTTTTTAAACATATATGCAACGATCAGGCAAAGGCAGACTAATCTGACTTTTCTGGAGTTACTCAGATTGCAGCCTAACGAACTATAAAAGCGAGTGAGCCTGAGAGCTGTAGTACATCTAAAACCCCAGAGCACACTATGGGCCCTCATCAGATCTTAGCTGGCAATTAACTGGCAGACTCTAGGTGAATCTCGTTAGCCAAACCTTGGCCTTGTCTAAATTCCTACCTCTGTGGGTTTGCATAACACCTTGGTGTTTCTTCTCTGATGCTTTGATGTTTATGTAGCACTCTCAGTGTATTTTGAAAACATTTACATACTGATTAGTTAACCCAACAGACCAACCCTGGGAAGACAGCCAGAGCCAGCAGCCCCTTAGCGATGGAAAAACTGCTAGTGGAAGAGACCTGCCCAATATTGGGAGTCTGGACCCAAACCACACTATGTTGTTTTAATGAGTGGCAGAGCTGTTCAGACTCCTCTTCTGAATCCACCTAGTTTTGCTAAGGTAGTGAATCTGTGTTGGCTGTCACTTTTAGCAGCTGTCTATGAAAAGAAAGCAAATACAGCCTAGAGCTGTACCATTTTGTCACAGGAAGCTCTTTTCAGCTTCTGTTCTGGCTGTGTTCAACGTCTTAACTTACATGTTCCCCATGTTGTAATGATCTGTACATCACCCATTTAGAGTTTTCTGGCCCAGGGATGGTTTAGTTTAAGTTGGTTTTGTTGTTCATGGAGGTGGTGCTGGGAATCGAACCCAGGGCCTTGTACAAGGTAAGCTCATGCTCTACCACCAGGCTACACCTCCAGCTCCTAGCTGAAAGTGCTGTTTTTTGTTTGTTTGTTTTTTTAAATAGTCATGGGTTGGTTGAGCCTTGTTGCCAGTGGCTGAGGTCACCATCCCAAGAGTATGTGTTATGTTTAGCATCTGTTGCATCATGGCAAAGGCTCCTCCAGATGTGCAGGTTTCGGGCTTGCCTTGGAAGATTCAGCACATGTGCAAGGAAAAAAAAGTCTTGGAGTGGGAAGTACCTGGATTATCCAAGATATATTCTTTTTTTTTTTAATTCATTTATTCATATGTGCATACATTGTTTGGGCCATTCTCTCCCCTATATCCCCTCACTTCCAGGCAGAACCTTTTCTGCCCTTTTCTCTAATTGTGTTGAAGAGAAGACATAAGCAATAATAAGAAAGACAAAACGTTTTTGCTAGTTGAGATAAGGATAGCTATACAAAGAGATTCCTAGCATTGCTTCCATGCACAAGTGTGTTACAACCCAAATTGATTCATCTCTACCTGACCTTTTCACTAGTTCCTGATCACCTTCCCATATTGACCTCTGTCGCTTGAAGGTTTCTGTATTAGCTCCTCTGCAGTGGGGACATCAAACATTTTCATGTTTTGGGTTTCCTACCTATCCCCGTTCCTCCCGTATGTGCTCTCCCCTTGTCAGGTGACTCAACTCCAACAACGTTGCTGTATTTGTCCTAGATCTAAAGTCCACACATGAGGGAGAACATATGATTTTTGGTCTTCTAAGCCTGGCTAAACACACACAGAATGATATTCTCCAGTTCCATCCATCCAAGATATATTCTTTACAAAAAGTGATTCAGAGCTACTGAGGTCTCCAGTTTTTACTGATCTTGGGGAAAGTGGCACAATGGAAGGTCTGGGGTTAGGGTTGGGGTTGTTGGTGTCAGAGAGATGGAAGACAAGTTAGCTAGGCAGAAAAGATGAGCTGCTTGAGATGAAGCACGTTCCCTAAGATGTTGTGCTATTTGCCTAAGCCTTGCTGTGGCTCCTCCAAACCTTTCTGTGAGAAAGGTTGGAGTGGTGTTTTTACCTTTCTCTAGCAACCAAGCATTCATTACCTAAAACTCTCTGGGATGACAGCAAGCTTCAGGGAATACTCTCCCTTCACAGCACAGGTAATTGCACCAACCACGCTAATTGAGTTGCTTTTTGAAGAACTCATGTAAGAGGCATCTGGTCTCATGTAAACAGGAGCTGGTTCTGTTGCAGGTGTGCTCAGCCCGTGCCACTTGCTGCAGCCTTCCAGTTTAGCTACTACTGGGAGCATCTAGGCTGATCTGAGTGCATCTAATCAGTGTGACCATACCGCCAGCTTGCAGCATCTGGGCAGGTTGTTTCTAGCTTGCTGACTTGCATGGAGGCTCTGGCCATGCAGCTGGTTGGTACAAGAAATTAGCTCATTTGGCCTCCACTGGCTGTCAGAAGTGGCCTTTAAGTCCAGGCCAGATGAGGTGGGATCAGTGGAAACAATAGCCATCTACCTGAGGGCCCGACAGGAGAGGAGGGTGTCTCTTGGCTACCTGACCCCCTCATTCTGGTAAAGTTACCTTGTGTGAGCTGACCTATGGATGTGCCCTGGTGTGAGTGCATGTAAGAGCCCCACTGGGCAGGGCTGGGTTCTGGGAATGTGCTGGAAATAGAGTTTGATACACATGAAGCACTCCCAAGCCACGGCGGGACCGGGAGAGGTGAGTGTGCCAAGGGGTGACGTGCCCCAACCTGTCCTTGTCTCTGTCCTGCACAGGTGAGCACTGTGGGCTATGGGATGGATGAGGTGGAGCAGGACCAGCATGAGGCCCGACTCAAGGAGCTCTTTGACAGTTTTGACACAACGGGAACTGGGTCCCTGGGACAGGAGGAACTCACCGACCTTTGTCATATGCTGAGCTTGGAGGAGGTGGCCCCACTGCTGCATCAGACGCTGCTTCAGGACAACCTCTTGGGCAGGGTAAGGTCTGGGGAAGAACACAGTTTGTGGGAAGTGGGGTGCAGTTTCTGCTGGGGTGCCAGGGGTGGTGCAAGGCAAATGTGTTGCAACTTGTTTCTGGCAACCTGGCCGTTAAACCTGGTAAAAGAACATAGTGGGTGTGGCTTAACAGTGCAGTTTGGCGAGATGGCAAGGGTCTGCTTTAGTTCGTGCTCTAGAATTATGTTGTATGTGGAGCAGTGTATGTAAAGAGAGAAAAAGGATGTTCCCCAACTTGCTTCTTGCTCTTTGTGGGTCATCTCATTGACTCCTCCTTCATCATTGGGACGGAAAGGAGGGGAGATTTTCATGAAGAGAAGGAAAAGGCAGTTAGAGTACTGCCCTTCACAGGAAGAGCAGATACATTAGGAATTTTTTGTTCCTAATAAAGCTATGTCTTGTGTGGATCATTTCTGGGTGAAGTATTAATTAAAACCTTCCACCCAGGAAGTAAAGTAGGAGAGTAAGTAAATACAGTGTAGGCTCATTTAAAACCCAGCATGACTGGCTTCCAGCTGGGATGTGTGTCATTTGACAACAGATAGTCATGTTTTCCCCATAGATCGAGTCACAGACATGAGAAAGAGGTGAGAAGCAATCATTTCGTTTTTCTTTTTTCTTTTTTTTATCTTTTATGGATAGTGGGAAGGGCATTTGATTTGTCACAACCTGAGATTGTCTCCAATTCTCTAATTATTATTAATGGCACCGTTTATATGACTTTGTGTACGTTTTTGGAATGGATAAGAGGACAAATCAGGCAGTACTTTTTGAGCTGCATTGCTATAATTGCTGACACTTTTAGACAGTGGTTTTTATTATGTGGTGTAGATTGAGGAAGCAGTCACAGAGCTGAACTTTAGTGACAACTTCCTTTTCTTCATTTTGTTTTTGCTGTCTTTTAGCTGGCAAGATGGGTAAGTGACTTCAGATACAGTATGGTGTTCTGACTGCCTGACCTGAGAGAAACAGGAGTAGCAAATTATCCTGAAATGAACGTAGAAAAGATGATAGTCTCAGGGCCTAACACCATGAAAGTGGTGTCATAGAGCCTCTACTCAAAGAAAAAAATATGTGAGTCCTTTGGAAAAACTGGGGCCCCTTGATCACTTTTGGGAGGGGGAATAGCTGCTTGTGAATATTTGTGATCCTTAGAAAATGCTAAACATCTTCGAAAGCACTAAAAATGGGTGCCTGGAAGACTGAGCAATTTTCTCCTCACTATGTAGTGTACTTAAATGTTTCTGAGTACCACCTCAGGTTTAGACAGGATGGAGAGGAAAAGAGTGCCATCTCCCAGTGTGGTAGTTAGGGGGTCTTGGGTCTTTTGGAGTCTAAGAATTAGCTTCAAGGGCAGATCTGTTTTAACGTTTCTGAAAGCCCGAGAAATCATAGTGCTACTGACTGTGGGTTTTCCTGGGAGCTTTGCTCAGAGTCAGAGTCAGAGTCAGCATGGCTCCTCTGTTGCAGGCACATTGCACCTTGACAGCAGATTAACAGTTTGTTCTACAGATGCCACACATCTTTCCTTCCGTTGGTAGACTAAACCAGGGAACAGTTATCGATTGATTTGTTAACGACTTGACACCACCAGTCTGCTTTTTACTTTTGCTATTTGCCTGAAGAATGAATACCTAAGTGGTCTATAGCGTGATATTTACTTAGGGAGCCAGCTATAAAAGTTAAATAGATGGATGCATATTGATTTTGTGTGGGAGGTCCCTGGTGATGGTCTGAAGAGCAGGGTTGGCATGAATTAATGCACTACTGTTAAATTTGCATTTTTTATGAATCTGAATTATTCCTCAGCTGATCATATAAACTTGGCCATATGTTGTGAAGATATTCTATATGGTTTATAATTTCATATTATAAAGAAAAAAATTCCTTACAATTCATTGAAGCAATCCCAGTGCCATCACCTTCCTGATATATTGAGTAAGGATCATAAATTGTGAGAGTACATGTTTTTAAAAATTATATTAATTTTTTTAAAATGATGGTGGTAATTGTGCATACTTATGGGGTACAGTGTGGCATGTCAGTGTACTCATACAGTGTGCAATGATCAGGTCAGGATAACTAGCATAGTTGTCATCCTCAGACATATCGTTTCTTTGTGTTGGAAACATTCAGAATCCTCTCTATTATTTGAAATACTTGGTGGATTGTTGTCAACCATAGTTATCACAGAAGTTGTTCTGTAGTGTCAGTCATCTTTCCTGTCATTAGAAGGTCTTTATAGATAAACTTAGAAGGGTTAGCGGCTTTATTTAGTAATACAGAAGAAAAGTAGCACCGTGAATCTGAATGTAATCATTTATCCATGAATCCAACAAATGTGTATTGTGTGTGTTCTGCATGTCTGTGGGACACTAAGACTAGTGTGTACACTCGTCTTGTGGAATTGGTGCAGTTTATTTTTATTTATGTTTACTGTATGCTACAGTTGTTCATTAAATTGACTTGATTACATTGGCATCCGCCAGCTTCCTGGATGGTTATGGCTTTCATTTTATCTTCTAAATCTTAATGAAATGTAATTTTTAAATACAAAGAAATTTCCAATTTCACCTTTATTGGAGGCTGAATTCTTGAAAAGAAGATAAAAGGGATTCTTTCTCTCAATCAAGAGTACGAATCTGTCTTTGTATCTTACAGTCCATCTTCATTAACTTCTTTTTTAAAGCCTAATGCTTCTTTTAACAGTTGTTTAGGAGAGTAACTCAAGTCACTTGCCATTTTCAGGCATTTGCCGTTAGGCCGTTTTCTCCCAAATTATGACTCAACTTATCTGTCATGCTTTATAAATTGAGTCCATAGTCGTCTGAGTATGGTGGTGACTATACAAGTGTTTGAAATGCCTAACTTCTAGATCCCTGATTTAAAGGAAAAGGGACATTACTGATGTGTTTTCTGTCCCATGTCTTTGTCATCAGTAGAGCACCTGTTAGGTCCTCAAAACTCTGAAGAATTGCTGGTCTAGCTTGGTAATGTACCTGGCAGGTGAATAGTACAGGGAGAAAGTACCATAAAAATTTAAGAAAAGGAACCATGTTAGCTCTCACTGAACCAAGTTTTCAATCCAAACTAGAAATTCCAGTTTAGATGCATCATGTTTCTTGTGTCTTATAAATGAATTATTTCCTCAGGTCTCTGTCTCTCTTGCTAGAAATTAGAACATAAAGAAGATAATTTGCCTTGGTTTTGTTGAAGCCTTTAGTTGTATTCAGTTCTCAGAGTACATTTTCCTTTCCTTATGCAATATGCCAACTTTGAGACAGCACAGCTCCCTGAAGCTTCATTGATATGCTCTTTAATATGAATTTGGGGGCTAAAATGCCCACATTCTTGGCATACTTTAGAATGAGAATAAGCCAACTGGCAGCAGAACTCACCCTTTGCTCCCAGAGTCCCACAGGTATGGGGACATGGGCCAAAAAGGCACTTTGAAATTTTTAGTATTAAATTTTAATAGCTGTACAAATATATAATTAATCTCAGCTTTCTACCTTTCATTTCAAAATGCATGGGGTTCATTTACAAATGTCATGATTAATTTTAAACGATGGACTTGCTGCTTTGTTTTCAATTCATTAAAAGATTTTTAAGGTTTCTTTCTCTTTCATATATTTAAGCATTGGAAGTGATTATTTTGACTTGTTTTTGGATGACATTACACCTGATCATCAAATCCTGCCTTTTATAACTGCCCTGCAATCATGCACTATATGATTGATTGAGGCCCTTCAAACCCATTGCAGGGAATGATGGAAACATTTCTCTCACACCTTTCAAATGTCTGACCATTTGCTTTACCTTACTGTTTAACCACCAGCGTTTAACCTGTAATGGTGACAATTATTATTAATTCCTGTGCTGCTCTTGTGACTTCAGTAAATTATCACGCTTTTCCTGTACAGCCGGATCCTTTGGGATTAATTTAAACTCCTGAGGGGTCTATAGGTCTGTATTTATAGGAAGGACCTGATTAGGAGGCCGCTATACTTGCTTCTCTTCTGAATTAACACTTTCTTGTTGAACTCATTGCAAAATTAACTTGGGTTGTGAGTGCTGCAAATCCTAAGTGTTCTAGAGGTATTTGCTGTGGCATGAAGCAAGGGCAGAGGGAAGAATGCTGGCTGGGCCTTGGGCTCTGAAAAAGCAGGTAGGGACTAAGTGCTAAGTGGCCATTGCTCCTAGTACTTTATTTCAGAAAGGCCTATCTCCTATGCCAGAGAAGATATGGTTAGGAATGCAATACTCTACTAATTCTTCTAGAAATATCTACTTGTCTGCACAAAGGGGACTTAATGTTCTCCAGTGTTCATCATGGATATTAGCCATCAGGCCTCACCTGTGCAGCAAAGAATCCTAGCATCTGAAAGGCTTGTTCAGGGTCAGGTGACTCATTTGAGGCAGTGCCAGAATGGGATAGTGGTGTCCCCAGTCCCTGCATTTGAATGCATGTCTCCAGAGTTTCTTCAAACTCCAAGTGTGCAGAAATGAGTCTTATTCTCCATCCCTCTCCAAAGACCATGAGCATGTAGAGACGGTGTACTGTTAGAGGACACTCATTGAAGTCAGACCTGGATTCAAGTGTTGGCTCTTGCCATTTTTCAGCTATCTGGACCTGTCATCTTTAATACCGAGCCTCAGTTTCTTCTGTATAATGGGAAATTTAATACTTTCCTTGTAAGATTGTGATTGGCTGAGATTGTGTGTATGAAAGGTCTCTCATAGAGCCAGGGACACAGTTAGCTCACCATATCTCTTCTCTATCCCTACATTCCCAGAATGGGTCTTTGGTAGAGTGATTTTCCAGTAATGATCTTCTAAGAAAGCTTGTTAGAGAATGAATTTACTAGAAGCTCTCTTGTGTGGTGGTGGTTCATGACCATTTCTATCAGGCAGGGCTTCTTGGATCAGTCTTGAAGTGTAACTTCAATTTGTCTTAGACTGTTTTTGTTTGTTTTGATGGT